ATCCCCCGTACCCTACAGAAAGTTCTGTGACGTCCATTCACAATACCCTATCTGCACAGAAAGTTCTGTATCATCCCCGTACCCTACAGGATTATTCTGTGCGTTCTGTATCATCCCCGTACCCTACAGAATAGTTCTGTGTAGTTTGTATCATCCCCCGTACCCTACAGAAAGTTCTGTGACGTCCAATCACAATACCCTATCTGCACAGAAAGTTCTGTATCATCCTTGTACCCTACAGGATTATTCTGTGCGTTCTGTATCACCACCCGTACCCTACAGAATATCAAGGATGGTTCTGTGATACCCCCTGTACCCTACAGAGATTACCCGTACCCTACAGAACCCGCCCTTGAAAATTTGGCATGTATAAAACGGCCCACACGCTTTCCCCTCTTCCGCCTTTATTTTTTCAAATTTCGCAGATCGGACTTTTATGTGTTTGTTTGTTTGTTTTTCTCCCATCATTGGACTCTGTCGTCTTCCCCTCTGGCCCCTATTCTCCACTTCTACTAGCTAGACGACCCAACCGGGGTCACACAGGAGGGGGGGGCTGGACTTCCTCCTGCGGTTCATGCCTGAGGTATTTTTATCGCGAGAAGGGTACAGCAATCCCTTCCCTCGCGACTTACGAAGTCGATTATGGTTTACTGACAAACGAGCTATGCAACGCGTCGCTTTCACCCTAAACCAGGATTTATTAAGTGAGGAAAAATTCTCTCTCTGCCGGGACTCGAACCCATGACCTGGCCCTTAGCAGGCTGCGAGGCTACCCACCAGACCACCGGGGCGACCGTGTGTGTTCGTGTGCTGATCTATGCACATGCAGGGACAGATTACTCTGCATGCGCGAACATGAAAGACAAAGGGCACCCTCTGTACTTGTTGTTGAGACATTCCCTACAAACTTCGGAGTGTACAACAAGCATGCTGGTTGACTAGAAGAATGAATACCGAGGAACTAGACTACTCCCCGGTTGTCCACCTTAAGGCGCTTCTTCTTTCCTCTACCTTCACGTGACTGCTGCAACACGACGCATACATAACCCGATCAAGAATATTTCTGCAACAAGGCCTCTTTAGTCCTATGAAATGGCCCTATTTCCCGGTTTAGCGACCGCTAGATGCTATTGAGGGTCCCGGTTTAGCGACATGCCCTGAATAGCGACCATGTTTCGTCGTGACGCTAGGGGTCGCTAAACCGGCCCCCCCACTGTACATGCAAACCTACCACCGTGGCGACCGGCTTACGACGCAGAGGTAGACGGCATCACTCCACATCATTCTTTACTGTTGGTTATTTTGAGAGCTGTCCGATTATCCGAGGAGACCCCGGCCGTTTTCAGCAAGCCCGACTGCCCGAATGGGGCTCTTTCTGTAGTCTACACACGTTATTGGAGCAAAATCGAGCCTTCAAAGTCGGTCCTGGGGGGGTGCCATGTTTCACCTCTTGCGGGTACTTGGGCACGAGGTAGAAAGACGAGATAACAACAGCACCGCACCAGTAATTCAATGATGTTCTTGGACGCGACCACAAGTTTCCGTGAGAGTCAGTCAATGTAATACACTTTTGGCACGTCGATGCCAAACACATGTTTGCTTGTGGTTTGAACTTGTGGTCTCGCCATCCGGGGGCATCATGGAGGAGGAGGCCACAAAGGAGATTTTCAGGTTCTCCTCTTTTCTTCTGCGGTGCGTGCCTAAAATGGTTGTCTACAGCTTCTTACTCCTTTTCTCAGCACTCCCCGTGCACACTTCAACTCCCTTCGATCGGTGGCGCAATACCCTCGAACGGGTATTATTGTCTTTTCGCGATTGGGGGCGAACTGCCCATCAGAGAGATGGCCCCAGTCAGCCGTCGCGGGAGACATGTCGGACAGGAAGGAGAGAGGCAGGTAGGCTCCATCGCTCCCCACACGTAAAGTGAACCAAGCAGACCACAAAGAAACCTCGTGATTCTATCGTTAAACAGGAGCACCCATAGTATCCACAGGCTAGGTTTACCACCGCCTGGTTCGCACCGGCCATGCCATTTCTGCACAACGTCCATCTACCAACAACGCAACGGTGTGCATTCGATGCGGGGAGGCCAAGACGTAGGAACTGAACGTTCAATTCTAAAATACAACAATTTCCCATACTAGGGTGTCGCCGGCCAGGCCAACCCCGCAAAACATATTAGAGGCAGCCCTGCGTCAATACGCATAGGCACAACAAGTGAAAAAAAACACGAACAATCATTCAAGCTCACGAACAACGATTTTCTTCACGTGGTACTCACATACAACAAAAACAGTCAATGGGTGCTCTACAGTTGCACTTGGGTTCACAACGTGGCCGACAGACGGCCTATCACTAGAAGATTGGGACTGGCAGGTGTAGGCAAAGGAAGCAAGAGAAACAAAACAAATTGTCAACAACATCCTTAACACATAAAAGGTGTTTCACTCCAGTGCAAAGCAGAAACGAGCCCCGGGGGAGGGACCTGTCACGCGGTTGCACCGCGTATTCCGTGTTCCGAGGGAGCTGTTCCATGCACTACAAGGCAAGTGTCCCCGTCGAGCGAGCCGAGCGAGACACTCGAAAAGCCCGAAAGTGGACCAGCGGCTAACTGGCCCCGTACAGTACTGGCCACACGTGTGGAGCGCGAATCGCACTGTCGCTTCTCTACTTGCTCACAATGATGGCAGAGCTGGACAGGTACATATGAGCAACTCTCCTCCTAGCAGGGCAACACTCCCCACACTAGGTTCCAACGACCTCAACAATGAGACAACAGGAAAACCAGCACCGAGACATACGTCCGGTTTTCTTTGGAGAGTGGATTCTCGGCACCAGAATATCGGAACAAGGCGGTTTCGCCACACAGAAAATACAAACCATAGAAAACCGCACAGGTATCACTTCTGGGCACGAAGTTCTCGCGAATCTATTTTCACCCGAACGTAGACTCTTTTACTGGAAGCGCGAAATGTTGACAACAACGCCAACATGCCGTCAGCATATGCCTGCAAAGAAAGCTGGCCCTAATCAGCTGTAGAGTACATCAGGGCAACAAAAAAAGCTGACCAATAGCTCAATGTCGCCGCTGTTGTACGGATTCCAGCTGTTCTGACGGCCGTCGCCCAGCCGGTTACCGATTCGACCGCCCCGGTGGTAGGTTCTTCAGTCACCGCCGTGTCTGGCACCATCGGCGCTTCACCCGACGTGGGTGACGGCGACGGCGTAGTCTGCGAGCACGGCGCGGGGGTCAAGGAAGCCGCGGGCAGCGACGTCTCACCCCGTGTCGGCGACGGCGATGTACCGGAAGACGGCAGAGGGGTCGGGGGAGCCACCGGGCTGGGGGGGCGTAGTACATCCTCGCCGGAGGCTGTGGGAGCGTAAGCTGGCGGGGTCGGACTTGAATCAACCCCGCCAGGAATGTCTCGAGCGGCACCGGCGTCTGTCGGGGAAGGAGTTGGTTCGACCTGGGATGAAGTAGTGGACCCTTCGACGGTCACCGCGTCCAGCGTGCAGGAGGCAGACCTACGGCACAAACAGAAACAAGGCCAGAAACATACATGTAAAATCAGTCATGTTGTCCCCACCGAAGCAGAAAGTCGATCGCATTTTTGTATATGCGGAGATGTGGTTCTCGTGAAGCGCATGCATGTTTCGTCGAACGATGTTCAGGAGTTGCTGACGGAAGGCAGCATGGTCAGAGCACCACGCAGTCATCAATCAAGGGGACTGTTCGCCGATATCCGACGATTCAAGTTCGAAACGAAAGAGGCATGCTGGTACAGCGACGATTTTGTCCACTTCAGCCAACTTGTCCAAAAGAAACGACCGTGACCTCATCCATGGTGTCGAGTTGACCTGTCGATGTTCGGTTTTCCTATTCTCCGGCACTCGTTGTTCTTTCAATATCGTGTGGACCTGTGACCGTCCGCGTTTCCTAACCCCCGCGCCCCCTGGAACATGGCAGTACGAGCAATGATTTCCTGATCGATAAAACCCCCGACAGAGAGAATACTGGAATAGCTCGGCCGCAGGGGTGGTTTCGTCTAGTCTCTGATTTCAGATAGGCAATACCCCTTGACTCTTGTTATGTGGAGAGGGGGTTGGCCGGGGCGGCGAAACAAAAAAAACGATGACAATCCCCGGATTCCAACTGCCATGAGGACATCGTCCTCAGCCGGATTTCGCCATCAGAGGTGCTCCTTCAGCGGCATGTCTTTGTCGGCGTGAAAAGCGTCCAAGGTAAGATCAGTTGGTTCTGTAGGTGTTCCTTGTCGTTCTGCCCATAGCAGTTTTTCGTCTTTCGTGCGTTGCGGTTTACGCGGGGTCTTTATCCCGTCAGATACACGTGCCGTAGTATCGGTTGGCTTGTGACCTTTTCCCATTGCCTTGAAGAGTAGGGAAGCGTACATGTATCGAAGTGACACGGCGAACGAAGCCGAAATTCGTCGTCCTCGAAATTTTGCATATTTGGGGTTGCATTTTAAACACCAGATGATATCGAGAAGTGTTTTCGTTGTTGACATCATCTTCGGCTACCATCCGGCAAGCACGGAGGGCGGTACCGAGGAATTTTCCCACCGCCTAGACAACAAAGTGGGTTGTTCAGACAGGCCCAAATGCGAGTACCGACAAGATGCAACACTCTCATCCACCATATACCTAACCCCGTGATTAGTGACGGGTAGCTCTTCCAAAGATCTTTCGCGGGGAACAAATGCCGATTCATGCTGGACGAGGCATACTGAAGTGCGAGGAGGCGCGACCCCGGAAGGTGGCGTGATAACTGTATATGTGAGCCAAAGTGTTGTACAGAACCTTCCGAAAAACGCAGCGAATGCGCTGACGGCGGTTGCTCAAGCCTCTCTGCTCTCCGCCGCCCTCATAACGCAGAACGCTTATGTCAACCCCAATTTTCTAACGACCCAGAAATACAAAACAAACAATCCCAAAGGCTTGTTGGCGGGAAGCAAGCATCGAGATTCCCTCAACTTGACATCTTACCTGTGATAGTAGTCGCCAACCAGGTAGCACGAGTCTGCAGCGTCCGCCATTCGGCGCATGTCTGGCCCCGATGACATGTGGGGAGTGAAGTTGGTATGGTATTCAAGTTGCACTTCCCTGCTGCAAGTTAGGTCGGACAACCCAACAACTGGATGACAGCCCTGCCATCCGAGAGACATTCGCTGAGGAATGGAAGGCTGGCGGTCGGTACCTCTGGATCCGATTCTGGTGGAAACATCCCTCGGTCGAAAACCCAGAGGCACTGACATCGCACCCCGATACGACATGATCCACACCAGTAGGAACTGTGCACTTGTCGTCGGAGTACCGTGCAGCGACCACATTGAAGGCATTGGGCGAGATTGCAATCGGCTCTGCGAGACGACCAGAGAACGAAGCACCGGTTGCAACATGTCGGGGTCGCGTGAGCGGAACCTGACCGAAGGCCGCCAGGCGATTGTCACGAGCTGGAGGCGTCTAGCCACTACAAAGGACGAAGTGATTTTCACACCGCTAGGCTTGTCGAAAGCAGGTGTGTGCATAAGCTTTTTCACCGTAGGAAGAGTTGCGGCAAGGAAGATGCAGAGATTCGTCGGGTGACCAGCTGCAACAAGCTATGCTTCGAGGTGCCAGGAACACAAAAGTGTGCACTCAAAGAGCTAAAGAGGCACTCAAGGCACGTCCGTTACGCGGAACAGGAGCACCAGTACCCCGGATACATGTCACTCACCGTCGTCTGTGCAGGTTTCGTTGGAAGAGCAGGCTTCCTCCTCGAGACACACGTCACCATCGTCATCGTCGAATATGTCGGCAACAGAACAAGAACCAGTGCCACCAGTTGACAGATAAAAGTCTGACCATTCCTGGTCCTCGTATACAGTGACCTTGGTTTCTCCTGTGGAGAGGTTGCATGTGTAAGCTAAGGACCGGCCGTCCAGTATGGTCGTGCTCGTGTCTAGTCCACATAACATTCATTCAAAGGCTCTGACAACGTACGATCGACAAAGGGAGACGAGAACAACAGGCGCAAAGAGGCATGCTCAGTCCCCTCATCGACGAAGATGGTTGCGCATTGGGGTGGAGAACGTTTCGGTGGGCCAGGCCACTATCAATCTTACACATCACATTCCTGTTCTGCGTGACGCAGTGTTATGACCGTTGCTGGCAGGCCTGAATCTTCTAGGAGCTCCACAAACCAGCATTTGCGTTTCACGCGCAGTAAGAAAACAGCCATGTATCGTTAATCGGAATGGAGCACTACCAGCCAATCAGCGGACGACTAGAACCGCTATGCGGAAAATTTCTTCTTCAATCGAAGACATCACGGGGCGGAGAGCGGTGCGCTTGTTTTCGTTGGAAAATATGATGGAGCGGAGCGGTTAACTAGAGGAAGAACTTCTCACGGAGCGGAGCGTTTGGTTCCCCCTTTAGCATCAACCGCGCCAAAACGTGGCCATGACGGCGGTACACTGTCAGAAAAGAATGCCAAAATGACACGGCCGCCCGAAATTGACGGAGTAGTCTAGTCTACCTGCAATTTCGTGAAATACGTTGCTCTCAAAAACCTCGCAATGGTGTATTTGGTAAGGTACGTATCGAGGCATACCTACGGTATACACCGCTGTTACGTACCCTACCGAGCGTCTCGGAATGATCTGAAAGGGATTCATTTCATTTCTTACCGATTATCACGGTACGAGCTGTTTAGACCTCCATACCTTACCATCTCGGACGCTTCGGTAAGTTTTCCATACCCTACCGAGCTACCCCATAGACTAAACAATGGTGTGTTCGAGGGTACGTACAGAGGCATGCCTCCGGCATATACCGGCGGTATGAAGCCTCCCTGTACAGGCTTCATACACTACCGAAAATCTCGTGCGAGAATTTTGGTACAGGCTTCCATAGCTTCCCGAAATCTCGCCAAATGTTTGACATTTATACCCTACCGAGCGCCCGTACCTTACCAAACGCACCAGTTTTCTGGCGGGACGGCATATAATGAATATGCAATCAATACAGGAAATCGGTCACGGGCAGCCAACAAGGCGTCAGCCTCGAGCAATACATACAAAAAAGGGCGCATAGGTGCATGCTGGTATGCACACTACGGTAGTCTGTAATCTGTAATGCCTTATAGAGCTCCCCATCCGGTGACTTGCGTGGCCGACTCGGCTCTGACGAAGATCAATGTGCCAAAAGTGGGCGGCCAGAGGCACCGACACTTCCTGTTTGCGACTCTACAACGCAAAAGTACAGCATTTAATCTTCTCATGAAGGAAGTTTGTGGTGGTCGACAACAAACAGCCAGATACCCTGGACACTGGACACTGGACACTGCTGAATCATGTTACAGTAGTGTGCCCTATATAGTGCAGGGGTCTGTCGTGAGAATTTACCTGCACTGTAGCAGGCACCTGCACTACTGAAAAGGGTGCCCTCGATAGCGCAGGTTCTGCACTATTGCGGCTTCGAATATTCCTCAATTGTGCAGGTTCTGCACTATTGAGGCACTCTTCGACTTCACGTTGTGAGTGTGGCGTCCGCGCTGTGCGGGGCCAACAGAGTACGAAATGGATCGAGATTGTGGATTAATAGTGGACGAAGCTAACTCTCCGTCCTCGTTGCCTGCCTTCCCTCGATGTTGGTGATAGAAAAAGACTTGCGGGTAAAAAAAAAATACGACAGAAAGCCCACTGCAAAAACACGAGCAACCATGTACTGCTGGCCCCTGCCATCATTACGTGATGACCAAACTCTCATGTCCCCCTGGCGCACCTGGCTTCGATTTAGCAAGAACCAACACACACACAACCAGCCAGACGCAACCTCACTCCGTCGTGCCAATTTATCTGACCCCTGCCGAACCGGCTGCAATGTTGCAAGAAAAAAAAACACAAGTAAAAAAGAGAGAAAAACATGCAGGAAGGTCACTGCAAAGAAAAATCAAGCAAGCATGCACCCCGCACCCTTGCTAACGTCGTGACAAACTCCCTTATGACTGCCCGGCGCACCCGCTGCGATGTTGCGGGAAAAAAAACAAAAAGAAACGAGAAAGGCGCATAGGAAGCTGACTGCAAGGAAAAGAAAACAACCACGTACACCCGCCGCCTTCACTACGTCTCGACAAACTCTCTCATGTCTGCCTGGCGCACCCGCTTAGCGGCATGCGCTGCGATCATCGCCATTTTTGCTTTCTGCAGATGGAACGCCGCGTCTCCATTACCACTCTCATCTGCTGCCGATTCCAGGACGCCGAAGCGAGGTGAAAGCTCACTATAAGCCGGTGGAGCACGGCGCTCGCGCCCCGTGTTCTCACCGCCACCGCCATCTTCCGTTTCATCCATATACAGTTGGAAACGTTGTGGGCAACAGAAAACAAGAAGCGTTGCAGATGAATAAATGTAGGATTGAAATCGGAAACAAGGGAGGCAAGACGAGCGACGAAAAGAAAAAAGAATTGCAACCAACACAAGGAACAAAGAGAAAGACAAAGACAAAGAAGAATGGCACACAGCGAGGCGAGAAAAAATAAATCAAGCGAAAAAAAAAAGCACATCAAAAAAGAAAAAGTGAAAAAAAAAAAGCGCGACAGAGAGCCTCGACACCAGAAATGAAAGGCTGGGGAAAGCATGAGCTTGCTTTTTGAAAAATCGAGCTCGCAGCAGCAGCAAGAAGAGGTGTAGCTCACCTCCTGAAACTCTGCTTTGCGTGCAGTTTTCTGGCTGCCGGCACCTGCAGCAGCTGCCGCCTCGATCTTCTTCCGGTCAGACTTCACCGTCGCAAGAAACCGCACAGAGCACTTGAAGCGGTCTGCGATCTGCGCGTAGGAGACCTTGGCATCGATCAGTTTGAGGATGTCATCAAGCTTCCCGTTGATATCCACCCGCGCACGAGCACCACACGAAGCCTTCACGCTCCCCCCTTTCTTCTTCGTCGGGCGTTGAGATGGTCCCGCCCCAGCACCCTCAGCACCCTCAGCTGGTATCTCTTTGCGCTTGCCAGCTCTTGCGACACACGAGCAGCAGATTCGCCTTGTTTCGATGTCGCCAACCATGCTGCCGCAGTAGCCGCCCGCCACATCCTCCATGACAGACGTGGCCATGAGGGGCTTGCGGCGTCTTGTCTGGGTGGTGGCACAGCTCACCGTCCGCACAAGGCATGGTGCGCCTCTGCGCTGCGTACAGCTCTTCGGGTCTGCAGCAGCACGCGCGCCGCGTTTGTGTTGCGTCTATCCGCTGTTCGTGAGTGTGTGTCTTGTTTTTCTCTTGATCGCGTGTTTTTTTTTGTTATTCGCATCGACCTGATCTGTGTTGTCAATTTTTCTCGTTTTTTTCCTGATTTTCGGTGTTGGTTCTATGTGATGACGTCGTCACTGGTTTTGTAGAGAGACCCGTCAGAGATGGCGAGGCTAACCCGGGTGCCTTGGTTATGTGCCTGATCGTGGAAGACCCCTTCAATGTGGAACGATTCTTAGCTATTGTCGATATTTTCACTGCGTGCCTAAC